ATCAGCAAGCCCAACCCTTTCCCTCGTTTCGTACAACCCGACTTTTTCGTACGCCTCCTTCAACGTCATGACGATGTCCAATTCGGCCATGACGCGTTGTTCAGCGAGTTCGAGATCGTGTTTCCTCGCGAGCATTGCCAACTCGTGTTGCACCACCATGTTCAAGTACGCGTCGCAGTCGCTGTCGGTGGCGTGATCGAAGATAGGAGGACCAATGCGAGCCCTCTTCGCCTGGCGCTGTCGGGTGGACGATCTGGTGTCCATGGTGGTATTGTGTGCATGGAAACACGTGTTCCTACTCGCAAGTTTGGCGTAAACATTGCCCTTATGACGCGCCATCGCCCGCCCCTGTTTCAACGGCGCGTGTACCCCAAACCCTTCGCGATCAAAGGTATCGGGCGGCGAAAGAGATCAGCCACCGAGACACGATCGACGACGCCGCCTTTCGGGCTTGTCTCGGGACTTTGACCACCTTTTTAACAAGGCGAGGAAAAAAGGGCTCATCAGGCTCAGAGCCGGAGAGACAAGGCATGGTTGGAAATAGGCGTACAAGGGGTAACTTTATTTTTCTTTCCTGTACCACAATCCACAAGTCAAACACCGTGTAATGCCCGACCCCTTGTTTGTTTTCCAGACTCCGCGGGAAGGGAGGGGGCGATGCAAGGAGGAAGCTAGTGAAAAAGCGATAGAAGCTGCGCCACGTTTGCGATCGATCGAGGCCAGAAGGAAAACCTCCAGGTGAGACCAGTTGACACCAGATGCGCCCCCGTCCTGTTTTCCACGGCAAGCCCCCGCAGGCGCAGTGCCGGGCCGACAAATTACTGAGCTTTTTTGGCCAGCCGGAGCGCGCCAAAGTAGCATGAACTTGATGATCGGCACCGCCTGTCCCACTTTACCCCAGACTATTTCGATAGCGACCACACACCCCGAAATGCGCCATCGCTAGCCAACCGTTGCTGTACCATCCTCTGTTTCGGCGGCGATCAATGGTCCGGATTGGCTCTACTGGATCAACTTAGCCTTGCTCGCTGGAATTTGAACAGGCGCTGGAAGCTACGCCCGCCGTCGCCCAGATCGTCACCGTCGAGGAGAAGACGGACGGCTGCGACCATTGTATACAGACGTACCTCGCTGTCGTCGCGACACGCTTGACACTGGAAGCGATTTGGTTTTGGTCGAGACTCTAGGCAATTTTCTCTGGCGATAGCTCTCCCCGTCACCGTTGGTTTGGCATACTGGGTGTTTCGGGGATGTTGGTTTGGGGCGTTGTTGGTGTCTTCACCCTGAAAATGGTCCCGATCTCTACTCAATACTCTCTTCATACGGACTGATCCAACCGACCGGAGATCACCCTCCGTGTGTTGTTAGAACATCAGACAAAAACGAAAATGAGAAAAGCCCCAACAAAGGCAGGAAACATATCTAGATCAGCAAAAATCGCAGACAAACGGGAACCTGGCACCCTCCCTGTTTCTGAAGCGATGAGACCCCCCGAAACGCACCATCAACAGACAACCTTCTGTGACGACGGGTGCCCCTGGATGCACAGAAACTACATGTCCCGAAGAGCGCCACTGTGCTCCAACCCGGCAGACTACTGAATGCGGGAAGATCGCAAAACGCGTGATGCAGGCGCTGGTCCACACATTGCCAACCCATGTTTCAAAACGGTACAAGAGTTAAACCATCTCGGCCATCTGATCCCGGCCAGTGATGCCAGCTGCAGCTCAAGTGTAGACGCAAACCGAAACCTATCCTTAGTGATGTTGAAGGCTATTAGGCACCGCTTGTTAACCAAGGAACCTGTTGTTTGAGAGGAGAAAATTGAGAAAGACATTAGAAGAAACAAACATGAACTCGACACCTTCGGGGATGCGTTGAGAGGATGGGCGAAGGATACGTGTGGGACCCGTAGATGTGCATGCATCAAGTGCATTGCAACGTACATGCTTCAGTGCCACATTCACATTTCCGTGCTAGGTCAATACAGAAAAAAATGCCACCCTGCTTTCTTGCTTACCGGTAGAAATCCCATCACGCTTGATCCGCGAACCACCGCCACCGTCGCAGACCCTCTTTCCCCCTCCCTCACCGTCGCTTGTCTCGGCTTCCACCGCAGACCGAGATGCGGCAACCGGCTCGACCGTAGGCGTGCTGCTTGTATTGTCCCCGCCACTGGCAAGAGTGCTGTTGGGCGAGTCAGGTGCCGCTGCTGCTGCGTGTACTGTGTCAACCGCAGGCGTTGGCGGAGGGGTCTGCTTTACTTCGCCCGCTCCTCCGCTTCCTCGCCAGCCGCTGGTGATGATGGCAATGTGTTTTCTACCACCAACTCTGATGGCTGCCCTCCCCTTTGAGCCTCAACCTCCTCGCCCATCACAGACGCTCCGCCCCTGCCGCTGCCACCGCTGCCGATCGTTGCCAAGTATGCTGCTTTTGCCGCTGCACCACTGCACCAGCTGTGGAAGCTTCCACAGGCGGCACAGATGATGAGGCCGGTTCAACCATTGGCGCAGCCTCTTTTGCCGAATGAACCACCAACACAGCTGCTGATGGATCGGGGATGCCGACATTCTGACCACAAAATGGGGGATGCCGACATTCACTATTTCCTCCGATGGGACGCCAAAGAAGGACGTTTGCTGCAACCATTGCGTTCGCACCATGAATTTTTGCGGCGACAATCGTGTTTTGTATTCATCAAATCCCCTGTATTGTAGGGTATGCGAGGAAAAAACAACGAGACAAGACGCGCGTGTGTCGGTGCGTTGTGTTCTAAGAGCGAGTTTTACTGTAATTTCGCCGCCCAATTGGTGTCTCAGGCTTGGCTCAGGTACTGCTGTAAAGTCTCTGGCGATTTGCAACTGGCAGGTCAAGAAGATACACATGGTCGGGTATATTGTTTCGATGCGATCTCTACTGTAATGCCACCGGCGTGCTTTGCTAGCTCCACTCTGTCGTAGCTGCCGCCGCTTTACACTGCCGATCTTTGCTGCGATGAACTGGTCTTTTCTCTCACCATCGCACCCTCTTAACCCTTTCGTGACTGGGTTCTTTCTGGATCTTCCGCGGTTTTTTTTGTTCTGCCGGGACCGAATAGACCGATGAGTCATGAGACACACACACACGACACCCGCACTTGAACGTTTGCACGTTTGTTTGCGCACCAACAGGTTCCCACACGGGTCAACCGCACGCACCCCATGGTGCCACAAAGGTTTAGTGCCCAACAGCAGCGTAACCCTCACGTGAAGAATGTGATGAGTGACCGATAACTACACTGACTGCTGTACTGCTGTATGTAGGTGCTGTCGGAAACCGGAGGAGAGAGAGAGGAGAGGGCGCCGTATTTCTTTACCCCAAACACGATTACATGGTGATAGTCTACATGGATACAGCAGCAGCAGTAGAGATACATCGCATGCACAGCAGTTCTACCCCGCCGCCGATGCAGCACACTGGCGCAAGGCATGGCACCGCCTCCAATGCCACTTGGTTGGGTGGTAAATCCAGCGGAGACAAGAAGCACACACGCACGCGGTTTGTTTGTTGGATGCATGCATGCGAAGCGAAATGAAAAAGCACCAGCAGCAGCAGCAGCAGCCCGCCGCAGCAGCAGCAGCAAGCACGAGCCGCGCGAGAGATAAACTATGCCTTGTGGTGGCGGTTGGTTGAAGACGGACAAGGAATACACTCGAACACACACACTCGCGCAGGAGAACTCGGGGAGAGGCCTCGTAAGCTTGGCCTTCAGTTCTGCAACCACATTCCGAAGGCAAGGAAGAAGGCACACAGCTCAACAGCGAGAGCATGGGTTATCGTACCAGATAAAGACAGGTTTTATCATGCCTCCTATCGTGCCTGTAGTCACGAAAACCCTCTCAAAAACGCGAAGGCACGGGGGCGGGTGTCTCTTTTTGACACTCTGTCACTCCGCCACAGCCTGTCAGCACAACAGCAGCAACAACAGCAGTACAGCAGTACCAACATCACCACCATGGACCCAGAGGACATCGCTCAGTTCTGGGAGGCCAAAGCGGCTGAGTGGCATCCAGTGAATGCTCCCCTAGTTGTGTGGGACGAGCTGGTTCTGTCCCCGGTCGTTACTTTGTTTCTTTTCGAGCGGTCTAGTCGTACCGTCGAGCCGTCGTCGACGCAGGTATCCACAGCTCAATTCGGTTCGAAAGTTGTCGCATATAAGGGTTATCGTGCCTGCTAACATGCACGATTCGGGGGTGTAGTCACGAAAGGGTTAATGTCCTCACAACGCGTAACACCTATCACACACAGCACGAGCACGCACACACACGCACGCATCATACACATCACACACACGTTTCTCTATCTCGCCTGTTCGCACCCTCGCTCTCCTTCGCCTCGCTCTCGTGCTTCCCTCTCTTGTGTTTCTCTCTTGGTTTCTCAGGCTGTGTATTTTTTGGTCACGTCGTACAGCATCACAGTATCCCCATTGCTTTGTCACTAGCAGCAGACATCAATTTTCACGGTGCCGCTGAGTCACGTCGTACGTCGTACGAAAAGAGTCACGTCGTACAACAAAACACGCAAGATACATGTATGATTGTGAGCTACTGCAGCAGGCAGAGCAGGCAGTAGAAAGAGATTCTCTCTCTTGTGTCTCTGTCTCTCTCTCTCTCTCTCTGCCTCTCTCGTCACACGGGCTGTAAAAGTCACGACGTACAATAAAAGTCACGTCGTACCAAAAAGTCACGTCGTACCAAAAAGTCACGTCGAACAAAAATGTCACGTCGTACAAAAAGAGTCACGTCGTACAGCAAAACACACAAGATACATGTATGATTGTGAGCTACCGCAGCAGGCAGAGCAGGCAGTAGAAAGACATTGTCTCTCTTGTGTCTCTGTCTCTCTGTCTCTGCCTCTCTCGTCGCACGCGCTGTGTATTTTTTTTGGTCACGTCGTACAATGTCACGACACCCCCATACTGCATGGGTATGGCAGATTTCTCCACCGTGCCGCTGAGTCACGTCGTACAAGACCACACCCGCCAACACCATGGTATGGTACTGTGCGGACAAGAGATGCCCACCAAAAACAAGAGCATGCTATGGCCACAGAGGTGAGCAGATGATGTGGTAACCGCATTTCTCTCTCGCAAGTTCTCTCGCCTTCTCTCTTTCTCTCTTTCTTTATCTCTCTATCTCTCCATCTCTCTCTTTCTCTCCCTGTAGACTACCTCTTTTCTCTCTTTCTTATCTCTCCCTCTCCACAGTACGATGTTGTACAAGCGTCTTCAATCCAAGCCTGTTTGTTGCCCACAAGTACGCGCACACGCGGCGAGATTACACTCGCTACTGCTGCGGCGACACATTCGCTACCTGCTGCTCTCTATCTCTCTCTCTACTCTCTCGTTGTCTCTCTCGCTGCCTCTTTTTATTTCTCTCTCCCTCTCCACAGCAGTAGTAGAAGCGTGTACATTTCAAGCCAATTGCCCACAACTACACGCACACGCGGCGAGATTTACACTCGCTACAGCTGCTCTACAGCACACATGAGCAGATTACCAACACCTTCCTCCTTACACTCCTCTCTTCATCGTACAGATACCACTGGGAAGCCACGTGGGGACAAGATGTGTTTCGCACACAAGACACCCACTATGATCAGCCTGAATGCGACGCACTGTAAGTACGCCGGTTGTAGAAGATCTCCTTCGTACGGCTGTGTCTCCGAATCAACGAAAGGCCTGAGAATATTTTGTTCAGAACACGGCAAAGGCAAGAAAGGGATGAGCAACGTAAAGGACAAGAGGTGTGCCGAACCAGAGTGTAGAACCCTAGCCAACTATGGTTTCGGCAAGAGCACGTACTGTGGCCTTCACAAAAAAAATGGGATGAGTAAACGCGCGGCGTCGGCAGCTGCTTCGGTGATGCGGGGGCCGGTAGTATCATCGCCAGAATCAGCAGCAACGGTAGTGGACACATCGCCAGCATCAGTAACGGTACGAGAGGAGGATGGCGTGGGAGAGTTAGGGCAGAGACCAGCATCAGCGGCAACTGGGTCCGTACAAGATTCAGTGGTAAACACAACAGCGACAACAGCAGCGGGAGGGGAGTGTGAGAGAGAAGGAGGAAGGAAGCCACCAGAGCCGTGCAACAAGTCGGTTGCGGTAGCGGTAATAGCATTTGCGGCCGTGGCACACACATCGGATAGAGAGTCGTTGGTGAACACAGCAGCGAGAGATAGCGGGGAGGGGGAAGGAGGAGGGCAGCCATCAGAGTCGGTGGTCAACACAGCAGCGGCTACGGCGGGCGTGCAGGGCGAGGGGGAAGGGGCAGCAGCGGCAGCAGCGGGTGAGGTGGGGCGAGGGGAACGCGAGGACACATCTCCGGCGCCGGCAGCATCAACAGCTGTGGGCGAAGGCGAGGGGGACGAGAGAGAAGAATTGAGGAAGACGGTGGCGCCTTGGGTAGAACAAGAATTAGCAGCAGCGCGCGTAGAGGGGGAGGGGCAAGGAGAACCAACAGAGTCGGCGGTCAGTACAGCAGCGGCAGCAGGGAGCGTGCAGGGTGAGGGGGACGGGGCAGCAGCGGAAGCAGGGGATGCAGCGGGTGAGGTGAAAGACACATTTGCGGCTCCGGCAACAGCTGCACCAACATCGCCAGCACCAGCACCAGCGCCAGCACGAGCGGCACCACAAGGCGTTGAAGGCAGTTCGGGCACCGGAGCGGCGGCAAGCGGGTGTGGGAGTGGTCGTGGAAGCGGGAGCGGAGGTGTTCATGAACACGAGGTGGGTGTTGGCGATTCTAAAGCGCATTGTGCCTGACACTTGACTTTACGTAAGAAAAAGGGGATGGTTGCTTTCGCTGAAAGAAAGACGGCACCAAAAAAGGCTGCCTGTGTGACCCGAGTTACTTTCTTCACAGCGGCTTTCTTGTTAGCGGACCGGTAGTGTACCGCCGCACACTGCAGAGATGCATGTTGTCCGAACATTCGTATCGGCTGCTTCACCCTGTCACCGGCCCACTCGTTTAACCACCCGTTCCACAGGAGTACGCCGTTCCCGCGGCTGAAGCGGACTCAGATGACGATGGTGCCGCCGTGGTTACGCCTGGACAAGGGACGGATCCGGAGCAGCCTGTTCCGGCGAGCGGTGAACGAGGAACAGTCGTTGGAGCGAGAGCAGAGGAATGCACGGCGCCAGCAACGGGTGGTGGGTGCATTTCGAGCGGCGGCGGTGGCGGTGGTTGTGGAGGCGGCGAGAGTGGAACGGCAATAGACGCCGCGACATCGGTGTCGGCAGCAGGAACAGCAGGTGCCGGAGGCGTAGAGATGGCGTCATCCAGTAACCTAAATCTCCTCGCCACCGTCTGTCTGCTCGAGGAAAACGGGAGTTGTGGAGGGATCGAGAGCGGCGGTGGCGGCGATGGAGCCAATCACGATGTGAGTGTTGATTTTCGAAGCATGGCTGAATATTTGGGAAAAGAAGGGCGATTGTTGAGCCCTCCCTGTGTTAGACACTATGACAGGCGGAAAAAAGACTGATACCCCTCCACCCTTCGCTTTTCCCCGCTCCACCCTTTTGACCACTTGTTTCACTTAGGAAACGGTTCCGATCGGAGACTGTGCACCGGACCTTTCGCAAGAGCTCGCGGTCACACAAGTGACTGGCACTCAGCCAGACGAGGCACTGGCGGCGCCTGCATCTGCGCAGGTCGTGGTCGAGACGGTGACCCCTGGACAAGACACGGAGCGCCAGCAGCCTCTTCCGGCGAGCGAGGCCTTGGTGGCAGGTGGTGTGGAGGTGCAGGCAGCGGGAGAGGCTGGTGCCGGCGACGTGATGCCGACATTAAGCGGGTCAGTGGGTTTAGCACAACAGACGGGTGAAGCTCCGCGAGTGCAGAAGAGCCGGGGCTCGCACGACGTGCTCGACCGAATTCGGGTGGACGGTGGCGAAGTGGAGCAGGGGGAAGCTATAAGCGATGCGCTAGCAGTGGCGCCAGGCAGTAGCAGCGGCGGGAGCGAGAATGGGGGTGGCGCTCAACACGAGGTAGGTGTTGGCGATTCAAAAGCGCAATGTATCTGGAACTTGCCTTTCGGTAAAACAGATGGGGATATGCTATTGCTGAAATAAATACGGTTGAAAATGAGTGCGAGCACACCGGAAGCGCATGTGGCAACAAGATAGGCACGTGCGATCCGAGTCGCCACACACCGCGGAGATGCATGTTGTATTGACTGGTATTAGATTTTAACAATCACACACTTTTCTAAACCATTTCTACCACATCTTGTTGTGTAATGCAAACCAACGTATGCCAACATGAAGGGTAGAAACACTCTAGATCTTTGAACAATTGTCCCTGCTTTGAAAGCAGGCGCCTACCACTAGGCGATCTTTTAAGGGGACTACCTATCCCCGAGCAGTTGCCGCATCACTCGCTCATACTCCTTATGAAAATTCCACGACCAGAGTGCACATCTCTGTGACACACGACCTTGCAATTTTTGCAGGAAAATACTTCACTGGAACCAATCGTCCAGTTCATGTAACCACACTGGTTACATTGCTTCGTCGTATACGCTTCGCTCACTACACGCACGGATGTTCGATTCACCGAGGCCTTTTGAAGCAGGGTACTGCGGAAAGAGTAATGAGACAGCGCCTGCAAAACCCTCTTTCCTTTGCGCTTAGCCTTCATCACGCCTATACCCAACCTTCCAATGAGAACAACGTCGTAGTTTTGAACGAGCCAATTTGCAAGCCTATGATGCATATCCTTGATCAAGTTCTTCAACTTTGCCGACGCTCTTCTCACCGCCTTTTTCACCCGCCTTTTCTTACTTGCGCTGAGCTTCGTTTTCAACCCATTTCGTAGTTTCCAAATCACCCTCAGACGTTGTTTGACGCGTTTATTCGCGTCCGTTCCCAGAAACGCTATAGTTCCATCCGGATCATACATTGTTCCAAAGGTCCGTTCCCCCATGTCGAGTGCACAAATCCTGACGGATGAAATGTCCGGGGAAATGGGCGTGTTGTAGTTTCTGATGTCCATAATAGTCGCGTGGAAAATCCCATGAGACTCCGTGATCTCCACGTCACAACGAGGTCTTCCCTCCAGCGCCGATTCTGCCAGTTCAATCTCCAACTTCCCGAAAACGACGAGCTTTGTCCCTGAGAAAACACAGTCTGCTTTCTGGAGACCAACCCACTGGTCGTCTTTCTTCCTTGAGATGAAGGCAAGATGCCCGTTCAAACTATCACAGCTTGCTCGCGACGAAGAAAACTTGTCAAAAGCTTTTTGGCGGATATGCTCGGGGGTCTTGCGGAGGTCTTTGTTGATGAATTTAGAGCGAACACATTGCCGTCTCAACTCTTCTCCCCGGAAACCCTTGTTGTGTAAGTCGACCGCCGTGTTGAATATCTTCCTTGAGGACTTCATGTATCGTCGGAGCTGTGACTTGTGAGAAGGATCGATGTTCACAATCCTCACCTGCTTTGCACGTTTCACATGCGGATCGATAGTCAACAACCTTTCCGCAAGCTGATTGATCAACGAGTCTTGAACCTCTAGAAGCTCGTCTATAGCATCGTCTCCATGGAAAGCATCTCGTGTGAACTGGTCCAGGGAAGTAGTCAGCGTTTCAAGTTGCTTTTCCTGAGTTTTGGAGAGCCTTCCCAACGACTGCCGATATTCCTTGATCGTTTCGATCCTGTCGTTCACCGATTGTATCACCATGTTGACCAGGTGCTCGTTTTGTTCTCTCCGAATGGAGAGAATTCTCAGTTGGACCACCAACAGCTTCATCACAAGCATGTTCTTCGCGCTTTTCTGGATGGCGTTTCCTCGACTTATTTGATCTTTTTCCATAGAGCCTGGAACTGAAAACGTGGACAATGGCCATGAGGTCCTCCAAGAGTTCCTTCTCGTCGGATCCTTCCTGATCTTGGTTGTGAACCAAGAGTTTAGTTTGGTGCTCGTCACATATCCATTCGAGAAGGTCGAAAGCAATTCTGCACAGTCTGTCTCTGTAGGATACCACAACCGTTGCGAGATGTCCGCGCATGACTTCACGAAGAAGCCTTTTGAACCCTTTCCGCTTGAAGTTGATCCCTGATCCCGTGTCAGAAAATACTTGAAACCCAGGGTAGGATGTCTCAAGATATTCGATTTGTCTTCTGAGGTCTTCTGTTTGCTTGGCAGAAGAGACCCTGCAGTAGATTGCGTGATCTCTCTTCTTTTCTTTTTTGTTTTGGAGTTTTGCATCGCTGGATTGATCTCGTTTGAATTTGGAGATATTGAACAACCGATTTCCGCCGTCGACTCTGATACACTCGATTGTGTTGGTTCTATCCCATTTGCGTAGAGTATTTGGATGGACCCCGAGGATTCGGGACGCATTTGATGCTGTGACATATTCGTCTGACTGCATCACACATTCTTAAACACATGCAACATTTTATTTTGCGGATTTCGTACGCGCGACGATGTTAGAGAACGTGAAGCTATATCAACGTTCAATAGTTTAGCGAAGCTGCTTCTCTTTTATCCACTCGTTGCATAGGAGGACGCCATCCCCGTGCCCAGGCGGTCGAGCAGGGTGGTGGGATCTTCTGCGCTGGAATCGCCCAGCGTGGTTCGCCTGCTCGCGCAAATTCGGACGGACGACCCGAGGGTAGAGGTGCTGAAGCTTCATAACTACATCCCAGCGGATGTATGCACGCCTGTCATAGATGCCGTGCTGGAGGCGTTGATGCTCAACAACAACTGTCAAGCTCTCTACATTCAGAACGTAAGCAATGGTTTGCGAGACGAACAGCTTATGATGCTCGCCAGGGTGCTGCGCAAGGGCAACATCTGGTGCCTGAATGCGGGGGAGAACTCCAAGATCAAGCCGTCCACTTGGTGCGACTTTGTCAAGGAGATAGAGAAAACAGGCGTCACGGTAAGCGCGAGAAGAAGTTTGTACGATGCCGTCCACGTTGCTGTCCGTGGATGCTTTTATTCCAGCTGAAATGAATTGATCAATCATGTCTGTTTGCATGCCCTCCCTCATCGTCCGTACCGTACAGCACGCTTATCTCAGCGAGGAATGCATCCCTGTCGGCCTCAAGAAGGCCATGCGGACGGCCATCCGTGCCAACAGGGTCAAGCACACCCGCCACAAGTCGGCTTCAAATGTCAAAGTAATACGGCAATGTACCAACATGTGGTGAGAGCGTCTGTACCCAATAGGCTTTCTGTGTCTGAGTTTTTTATAAATGCGTAGAGAAAAGCAACACTACCGGCCTCGTTTTTAAACCGCCCGTTGGCCCCATTTCGCAGGTGGAATCCCGTACTCTGCAAGGAATCGCAGGCGGAGCTGAAGGCGGCCGCAGCAGCAGCGAAGGAGAGAAGCGACAGCGGCGGCGGCAGCAGCAGCAGCGGTAGCGGCGGCAGCAGCAGCAGCGGTAGCGGCGGCAGCAGCAGCGGCGGCGGTGGGAGAAGCAGCGGCGGTGGGAGCGAAGGCGATGAGAGCGCAAGGGGATCGGGGTCGGAAACAGGAGAAGCAGCACGAGAAGCAACCGCCGAGAAGCCGAGCGGGGGTGGGTGCGCGGGCAAGTCTTCCACCACTGCGAGGGGGAAGGGGAAGATAAAAGCGGGGCAGCAGGAGCAGACAGATGGCCGAGGTGGCCGAAAAAAACGGCGCCGCAGCGGAGGAGCTGGGGGAAACGCGACAAAATATTCTGCCACGGAGCGCGACTCGAAGAAATCTTGTGGGACAGGGCGGGCAGAGACGGTGTCTGACGAGCCAAAGAGCCGGCAGGAGGTGTGGGATGCTGGATTCGATGACGATGAGGCGGCTATGGACTTCGAAGATGCATGTTACGAGAGCGACGTGGAAGCCAGGGAAGAATTGACACAAGAGGAGAAGAAGGAGAGGGAAGCCTGGGAAAGAGAGAGGGGAGCCGAGCGAGAAAAGGAGAAGCAAAAACAGATGAGCAAGACGTTTCATCGAATAAAGGTGCTATAATCGTGTACAGAGTAGAAGGAGGAAGTTGCGGGAAGAGACATATATGCATGAGGCAAATCAGAGAAGGTAGAAACCCGGCGCGTACTTGATTACCCGTCTAGTGGTCTCTAACTGTCTTCTCCACTGCTTCATGTAAATTTTACGGCGTCCATCGCCACAAGACTCCCAGCGAAAAGGAGGATGAGCGTTTGCACGAAGCCCCAGTGCAGGTGTTTCCCGGAGACACTATCCCGGTGGACTCTATCAGGAGCTGGGGAGCTGAATTCGGCTTCCATGACAAGAGTAGGTGTGGCTACTGCAACGCTGGCACCGAGCTGAAAACGAGCGAGGAACAGAAGACGGAGCGTACAGACCTAGAACTGCTGATTCGAAAGACAAGGCATGTCAGACTCAGATGTACTTGGTGAACGGGCGAACTATCATCTGCATTTAACTCTGACGGGTGAATACGTCGATTTGTCGGACTCCGTGACAGCCGACCCCCTGCTTTATGTTCCAGAGCCGAGAGGGGGGGAGATGGCGATGGAGGGAAGTAGGGCAGCAACAACCGATAGAAGGGGGGAGTATGCGGGCAGCACGTTGGGAGCAAGCACTGGCGCGGAGGCGTACGTGGCGGCGACGAGGGAGGCGGCCTTTAGGCCTGTAAAACAGCATGACGGTGAGCTGCGTGGCATGTTTTTTTTGGCGGCACGTGCTCGTTTCCCTTTTTTCTGCGGCGGCGACGGCGATAGACTGGAAAAGTAAGCTTCGGATTAAAAGTAGGTGTTATTTCACGAACATTCCAAGTTACCACCCCCGTGTTTGAGACGTCACGGCGTCTCCAGATACCGTTCCCATCTCTCTTAATACCAGCCTTGATCTCTTCGGGATTGGAACCAACATCAGAAAAAACTCATCTACGGCGGAGACCCATGTCTCCTGCGAGCCGAAAAGTTCCAACCGCGTCAAAGCTGCATGAATTTGAAGATCGGCACCGCCTGTACCACTCGCCCCAATTTTTTTCAAAGGCGACTGCGCCATCGTTACCCAACCTACCCTCTGTTCCGGTGGCAACCAAAGGCCCCGAGAGGCGCACTGAGTTTTCCCGCTTGGCTCGACTTCTTTTTTTGCCTTGCTCTTTGGAATTCAAACAGGCGCTGGGAGCTACGCCCGCCCTCGGCCAGATCGCCATCACAAGAGACGGACGCCTAATAAAAACTACAAGACGAAGAGATGCCTTCACCCCTAGGACGCTTCGGCCAAGTCAATCTTGCCGGTAACTGCATCCGAACAACCCAACACGCGAAGGTACATGTGGAGTCGAGCGTGCCATGGGACAGAGCATTCGGCGCCTGCATGGACGAACAGCCCGTGCCACAACAGCCCCCATCCCAGTGGTAGTGGGCAGTCGACACCGTCCTCCTTCTTGTATTCCCTGCTGTTGACCAAGTGACTGCCAGCCACACAGCGAAGGCTAGTCCCCGGTTGGAACGAGCAGAGGGCGGAATACGGAGGCGGCTGACGTCGAGTGTTATTTCGAGTGGCAGCTCCGCCTTTGCCGTCCAGCTGTTCGTTGATTTTCTGCAGATGTTGGTCCCTGTGCAAAATCTGCGATCGTTGAGAGGAGGCGGGAGGTGATGAAGTGTTTGGCATTGCATCGGGGTGGTACATGGTATGAAAATCTGTGTGAAATGAACGAGTCAAAATAACTTCCATCAGGGGGCTCCGGGGAGGTGACCGCGCGTGAACAACCTCCGCGCACCCGCATCACAAGCATCACTACCGAGCCAGCTCGCCTGCGCCAAGATTTTGAAGAGGCTGACCAAGCAAGTACTCTTCTCCACCAGGATGTGATCGTACCCTGAACTGTCGAGAGCTCGTAGGATGTACATCATTGTCTCTTCCATTTCCGTGGCGTAAGGTACAAATTCACCCGCCAGGTCGCCAGGTGGGATCATAAACCTGTGCTGACTCTTAAATGCGGTCATACTTTTTCATCAGCATGGCCCTCTTTACCACACCTCCGCTGTCTTCCACAAGCTGTGCCACGCTCGAGAGCATCGACTTTGTCTTTTCCTTAGCTTGCTGCTCTGAAAGGAACAGGGGGACGAAAGCCTTCCCGTCTGTCAGGAGCTTCAACCGTGCTAGTTTACCGTAGGGTGTTGCCAGAAAAGTGTCGATCAGCAGCTGTGCAGCCGTGTGTCTTGCGGTACCCAATAGAGTGCTGTCGATGCGCTTCATTCCAGCGACGTAGCTCTGAATAGCTTTCCTGGCCTCTTCGGGGTCGATGTTATCTTGAGCATACGGATTGAGGATAGAGCTTTGTTTTAAGTGCGCGCGCGGGCGGTGCAGAGAGAGAAGGGGTGTTGACTACCTTAAGAATATCACATGTCCAAACGCTGAGCGTGAAGCGGGCCAGTTCTGCTCTCAAATCAGCTTACTTTCCAGCTGAGCACACCTTACACGGACACGACATTCGGCAAACGAGCAGAGTAGCTTTGTTCCCCCCAGCTTTACAAACTAGTTGTTGTGACTTACGATGCTTCACCGCTTTCCAGGCCCATCGCGCCAACTGCAAGCGGCTCATGCTCACCACCCAAGGGTAGCTGGATCTCTGCCGAACGTTTCTCCACCTGCTTAAAAAAAGAAGCATATGATCCAAGCCATCATTCTTTCTTCTTGTAGCAGCATCAAAAGCAGCATCGCAGCACGAATTCAAAGTCAGCTTAACCAGCGTCGTTTCATGCTTACTTTCCCCCCAGAGGACGTCCTACTTCCACTCGTGCCAAGCACAGCTCTGCATCGGTCCGTAACACAACGTACTTCCTTGGTCAAGCAAGCAAGGCCCACTTGCCACAGGTTCTACGAGCAAATCAATACTACATCAAGACATACCTCTTGCGCAGCGCGATTGTGAGCTTCTTTTTCCTCTCTTCTTCTTTTGTACTGCCTCTGTGAAGCTTCGCGGGCTTTCACTCTCCTTTGGTCTTCGGCAGACATCTGTGGCAGTGGCGGCAGTGCTCCATTAGGAAGAAGTGTGCTCCTCATGCCCTCCGCTCTTGTCCCTGACACACCCCGGACAAGCAAAAACAAAACAAAAAGAGAGAACAAAGTGTGGCGGTACAAGTTGCTTCGCCGATTCAAGTACACGTTGAGCAGTACCGCCGTAGCCTGAGCTGAGTTCTCCTCTCCTGTGTTATTTTTTCTCTTTTTGGGCCACGCTGGCGGAAATAAATAAATGCGCTATGGTGAACATAAATCGAAGCAGCCAAGGACGATTCTCGAACGGTTTTGAATTCACCATGTATGCAACTCGCCAAGAACAGCGTGATAAACCGTAGTTAATCTGCAGGCGGGCGATTGAACACTCGTGGTTGCCTCGGCGAGACTTGTTGGCTATGATTTTCGTTACTTTTTTAGTATAAACAGGGGGCCTGCGAAACTGCTGTGTGACCTTCATACTCGACGGCTGGAGCTCTACTTTGCATGACGTGTTGTCCTGTTCAGCCCTGTCCAGTGGATTGATTGGCAGCTTCAACACTCATCATACGGCCGAGGAAGAGCCATCCCCCGGCTGGGCCGGCCTACCTCGCTGTGCCGCTGCCAACCTTCTGTCTCACTGATTGAATCAGGCGGTGAAACTAGGCCACAGGGAGACTTCTCCCCGAAAACGAAATACCAGAATTGAAAGCGGGTCCGGTGGTGGTGCCAGAAACCCTGTGACAAATTTCGGAACCCGAGGACCATGCCCGCCGAAGCTAGTCTGGGCTATGTCGCCAACACCTTTTCACTTCGAAAAACACCTGTCAAGATCTGATTCCGCTGTATCAATGTGAGGTTTGTGAGCAAACGTGTGCCCTGGTTTGCCAAATCAGTTCTCGCTTGGACTACCGTTATTAAGTAGGGTCTAGGGACGAGCGAAACCTAAGCGATCAATGGTGCCGTTGCTGAGGACGCACACATGTTTGAACTCAGCCTCCCGGTACCGCCGGCGCTGTCTATCCTTTGATTTTAGGGCCTCGAAGTCATGCTCTCATATCCCAACGTCCAGGAGTTTCTAGACCTGGGAACTGCCCCAGCTTTTGGGAGATTTCTAGTACTACGGCACAGTAACCGGCTCTGAGGCGTGTGCTACTCTCCATGCGTCCTCCACCCAATTGCCCCCCCCCCCCCCCCC